GCTGTGGTTTAAATGAGAGATTCCTTGGGAAACAACTCTGCTATATATGTGACTAAATCTTTGTTTATTCTTGACCCTAGCTCTCTCTTTCCGTGTCACGCAAGTAGTTTCTTTTTTTAGGCTTTGAAATGATTTCTTTCTGGTTTTGTTTTGTCCATTACTCTGGAGTGTCGTAGTCTCTTTCTTTAGGTTTTCAAAGGTTTTTTTGGTTTTGTTATGTCCGTTACTCTAGAGTGGCCGTTATGAGAAATTCCTGGGAAAACAGCTCTGCTATGTGACTTACTTCATCTTTGTTTATTCTTGACCCTAGCTCTCTCTTGCCGTGTCACACACGTAATTTCTCTCTTTAGGCATTTAAAGGATTTTGTTTTTGTTTTTTGGTCCATTACTCTAGAGTGTTGTAGTTTTTCTTTTTTTTTCTAGGCATTCAAATGATATTTTCTGGGGCTTTTTGCTCTCGAGTGTTGTAGCTACCTTGATATATGAATGTGTGATGAATAATGTTTAATTATAAAAAAAAATATGAATGTGTGATAATGATGTTTAATTATAAAAAAAAACTTGAATTACAAACTGGTGTGATTATGTATTCCTTTAGTAAACGTTTTACGCAGGAAAGATCAGAATAAACCAATGAATTACACAAGGAATGATAAGCCAAGCAAATTCAATGTAGCCAAGAAACAACACCTAAAGGGTAACAAATAAAAAGAGATAAGTTGTCGGAAACAGATAGAGAAAAAGCTTTTGGTCAAGTTTATTCTGCAGAATACTCCAGTAGCTTATCCCAGAGGTCTTCTATATAATATAACATGTGTGAGTACTTGATCAGTTCTTACATAATCAAGTAGGAAGATAGATAAGTTTCTGAGCTTGAAGAAAATTGGGAAGAGTTTCAATAATGAAGTGCGGAATAGAAAGGAGTCATGACTTCTTGTTGCACGCAGCGAGTTATCAAGATATTGATCAGACTGGTTCTTGCTTTAGTATACATGTTTTCGACCCCAGTGGTTATGCAGCATCCTTCTGTAAATGAGAAATGTCTATAAATATGTCCATAGTACCATATAAATTTGTGTTTACTTTGAATGAGCAGTTTCCCTCTTCTTCCTTGAACATTGAAGAAAAGTGGCTCATTGTGAACATGGGGCAGTGCTGGATAATTCCAATTAACTTAAAGAGAAAGTTAACTTATTAAAGTAAAGTTTAATGAATTAAGGAAATAGGAAACAAATCAAGAAAAAGAATGTTTTCATATTATTATTAGGTTAAGATGTAGCTTCACTATATAAGGAGTTGCAGAGTTGTTGCATCCCTTAAGCAAAACACATTGATTTAGTATTGAGAGAGTTTCTAAATCTAATAAGAAGTGCTAGTTTTTATATTCTTGTGTGTTTGTGCAACTTTACCCGGCTCAAGTATCTCTTGTGTATTAATTCAACAAGCTCAGATTGTACTGATACAGTTAAAGCCTAAGACCTGAGCAGCGGAAATGAATCTATACAAAGGGCTGCTATATATTATTGGTGTGATGTTTCAGGGAACAAGGTATCCTTGACTTTGAAGTATGAAATTAAAAAAAAAAAGAGAGATTAATCTACTGAAACATAATAATTTCATTCCAACATCAACAATCACTAGAAGGAAGACAGACCTTTTGTTTTTAAACTAAACACACATAAGCAAACAAGGGATAATTAGAAACACGACCACTAAACCAACTAGATACGAGAAAATAGCATTAGAAACACGACCATTAGAACCAAACAGAAACCAATTAAGCCACAGAAACAAAACATATGATCACTACCCCCTCTTATTCTTGATTCTTCTCTTATTTCTTCACTTGCTCTTCTCCTCCTAGTCCGTCAAACCCTTAGGAATATTCTCCTCCCCATGATATGACTCACCAAGGTTGTTTTGGCTTCTGAATGACATTTTCATTGCAGTTTCCTCACAGCTCCAATTATCCTTTTCAAATATGAAAAGGTAGCTGATGGCTTCTTGTCCACAGAAGTGTCATTAGAAGCCCATGCTCTCTCCGTGATAGTCCCCTCCGGGAGCTTATGATGTTTTTCTTTGTTTGCTTTGAAGGCACCAACGGTCGCAACATGGGCTTCCACTGTCTTCGTCTTGTTCTTGGGGATTGAACCGCATTTGACTGCGTCTTTCATGGCACCGATGATACTTTCCAAAGTATGTTTTTTCATTGTGAGAGAGAGAGATGTTGAGAAAGTTGTAGAGATGAAGGAAAGGATAACACATAGTGTTGTTTATAGAGAAAAATAGTTTTGTTTGAAAGGAACACCATGAACCGCCTTATCATGCACTTGAATTCAACAGTTGCCGTCTTTGTAGTATATGTGCATTTCTTGTACAATTTTTGGAGCAGCACACAAATGAAAAAAATTGCAGAGCAACGATACTGAAGAAGATGATGAGATCGGTGGAGACTAAACCAGTTCGGTTTAAGTCCTAGTGAATAAAACCGGTCTAATTTATGGGTTCAATTAATTTCATTTTGTGATTAGAATTAAAACCAAACATTTATTTTTTATTTACTCAAGTTCAATTCTGTTTTGATCGGTTAGTTTATCTTTATTAATCATCTTTATGTTTTAATTTCCAAGATCGGTTTGTTGTGAATCATGTGAGGCCTCACACTTGTGAAAGAGAAAGATTCATCCAATAATCAATATATGGACGTTGTACCATCTAATAATCTTAAAATTAGTTTGATTGACGTTAAAAATAGTTTTGTTTTAACATTTACTATACTTTTTAATCTATTTCGGGTCTTGATAACCCAAAGTCTTAAGATTGTGTGGCTGAAATAATAAAACAACTAATTGCATACATAGATAAGCAATGTGTGGCTGAATCTTGATAACCTAGAGTCTTGAGAATGTGTGGCTGAATCAATTCTGTTTTGATCGGTTAGTTTATCTTTATTAATCATCTCTACATTTTAATTTCCAAGATCGGTTTGTTGTGACTCATGTGAGGCCTCACACTTGTGAAAGAGAAAGATTCATCCAATCCCCTATACATTATTTGTGAAGTGATTTTGCCACATGTCCTCTTTAGAATCAGTTTCACAAAAAAATGGTGACATGTCTACTAGAATTTATGACATGGCATATGATTAAATATGACATGGACAATTGCATTTAATGTTAATATATATTTTTGGAAAAATTTATAGAATATGGTAACAACTCATATATTACATTTAATATCGATTTATATTTTTGGAAATATTTTTAAAATATGGTAATAACTAATAAATCATCATTAAAATAAATATATACCAATATGGCATTAAAAATTTCGAAAATATCATTTAATTATATATTTTAAAACTATAAAATTTTATTACAAAAATTTCAAAAATGTATACATTTTTTGAAAATTATTAAAATTTAATCGTAAAATCATTAATTTCTTATATATTTAAAAATTTAATAAATATTATCTAATTTTAATTTTTGATAATTATAAAATTTTATACAAATTTAGTTAATATATTTAATTAAAATAAATAGATAAAAATTATCTAAGATTATAATTTTAAATATATACATGCATATTCTTAAATTTAATTTAAAATAAACAAAAATATTTTTATATTACTTTTTATGTTTGCTTAAACAAAAATTTGTATTAAAATAGTGATAAGAAAGAGAACTCATAAAATTATCATTAGGATAATAAATAATATAATAGTATAAATATAAATATAATAATATTACAAATATTGAAATATTTTTAAGTGTATTTTTATAATTATATATTTTTTCTTAATAATTATGTTTTTAAAAAGTTTATGCAGTTTGTTTTTAAAATTAAAATGTTCTAATCCCAATACCATTAGCTTTAATTATAACATCTATAAATTTTAGAAATATTTTTTAGTTTTATATTTTTATAATTATATATCTAACAAAGTTTTCTATTAATAGTATATAATCTGATTTAATATAATTTAACCAAAAGATAAAATATACATATATATTATTAAATATAAATTTAAGAAATTTTTTTTAAGATAGACCTAAAAAAAAAATTTTAATCACAAATATAGACCTTAAAATAAAAATGATCAAGATATACTTAAATGTTTTATCAAAAATAAGTAAATATACACTTATATCCTCTGGGTTAACTAATCGTAAACTTTTTTGTTTAAAGTTGAGGAGTAGGGTTTTGGGGATAGAATTACAATTTTTTCTTAAAAAAAAAATTGAAATTTTAAAATAAAAAATGTTGTTTTGGTTATTTTAGTTTTAAGATCTATTTTTGTGAAAAAACCTAAAAAGTTCTATTTGAGAGAACTGTCCTATATTTAAATAAAACTGTTTATTTTCTCTTAATTTTTACATATAATTAATGTAAAATTAATAATATAATAAAACAATAAATTTAAAAATTAGTTAAATTTTATTTTTAAATATAAATTTATTTTTAAAATTTTTATTTCTGCACATGGTGCAGGAAGCCACCTAGTAATCAAACATATGGACGTTGTACCATCTAATAATCTTAAAATTAGTTTGATTGACGTTAAAAATAGTTTTGTTTTAACATTTACTATACCTTTTAATCTATTTCGGATCTTGATAACCCAGAGTCTTAAGAATGTGTGGCTGAAATAATAAAACAACTAATTGCATACATAGCATCCGCGCGGGTATTGATTTTTGCGTTTTTATAAATTGATATTCGTTTTTTTATGATTAGTGTTATATGTTTTAGATATGTCGCCGATAACTAATTGCATACATAGATAAGCATCAAGATGCATTAATCAACTTGATCAAGAAAATTTGAGAGTCAAAACGGGCAGATAGCTTCATTGGTGGTAGCTAGAGATGAAAGTAGCCAAGAGAAGAAGCCAAGGTTTTTTTGCCTGTAGAGCCGTTGAGCAGAACATTCTTGGTATGATTCTTGGGGTTATGGTGATTAGGAAACTTCCTTTCAAATTTGGTTTCAGTAACTATGAAATTAAATACTCCCAAATATAACATTACATTTTGGATTTTTGTTTTCTAACAAATTAAAGAGTCTTGATGGATTATGTTACATCGTTTCTCCAATGGCAGATTCTATATGTTTAAGTAGAAACCGTTGCAGCTTCTTTCTTAACTCTTCGACTTTCTCACTAGCTTCACCTCTGTTTTCAATCACATCATCGAGCCAACAGTTTACTGCTTTAAGGTGAACAAGAAGAGACTCTTTCCCATTTGCTTCTTCCTTCTTCACCAAAAACGACCCTTTCTTTAGTGAGCTCTCCAAATACTTCAAGAACCATTGGCTTGATACTCGGAGTAGCTCGTCAGCTAAACTCAGCGACTCTTTTAACCTGTTTTTACCTTTTATATTACTTCTCTCAGAAACAGAACGATGTTTCTCTGAAGTCAGTTTCGCACCCTTGTAAGCTTGGTTTCTTGGACTTGTTGTATTATCCTTGGGGCTTAGTTTCTCAGAGGAGCTTTGAATAACAATGTAGTGATGATGGTCTTGGGGAGAAGCAGCATCTTCTAGCTTTCCAGGCTCTTTGAATAAGTTGAACTGAGAAAAACCGGTCATTACCGCGTCTTGAACCCAAGCTGCTGCGTTCTTCTTAGCTGCTGATCTACAAGAACCGTTGTGAGTAAGCAACAGATGGAGTGCTTTGCATGTGTTTTGTGTACTATGGTAGATGTCCAAGAACCGGCGCACAACTTGGCCGGCTGATAGATGTTTACAAGAGTCACATAGTTCAGCGAAGGACCTGGAGGAACATAAGCTAGATTAGTAATGAATCATTAACAGAAGCTGGTTAGTGATAGAGAAAAACATACTGTAAACTGAGCAGAACAGACTCCATGGCAGATGCTTCCTCTAGTGCCTTTACTGCAGCTGAAACTGCTACTTGTCTATGTGATGAAACTTCCTAAAATAAGAGATTGAAGACACACATGACTACTATGAGTTGCTAGAACTTGAAAGATTGATCCCAAAACCGTACCTGTCCTAGCACTTGAATGGTTTTTGGGAGTCCAGTCCATGAGATTCTCTGGTCAGACCAAGTCCTGTGACTTGAAGGCAGCTTATAATACGCAACTGGAGAAGCCACCGCCTTTGACAACGATTTGATACCATCTTTTGGAGACTTGGCTATGGATATAGGTGATGCAGGCTTAACTAACACATTTCTGTTTCTTAAGGTAGGGGTTTCATAGTTAAGGTGCTTTGATAAGGACTCATTCTTTGGATGATTCTGATCACTCAAGACCTACAATAAAAACATAGAAAATCTATGAAATCAGAAAGATTGTGAACGGTAAAGACAATATCAAGTTTCGCTATATACTCTAAAAGAATAACATTTAAGGTCTCTCAAAACTAGGGTTGTTGGTTTCACTCACATGTATCAGTGTCAGACCAACTTTAATAACTTATAGAACAAGAAAACAAGAAAGAATGTGAATTGTGAAAGAGACAATATCAAGTTTAGTTGCATATCTAAAAGAAGTAACTTTTAAAGGTCTCTGAAAAAACAAGGTTTATGATTTCACTCACATGTATCAACCTCAGACCCTTATAGTAACGTAAAGAACAAGAAACCAAGAAAGAAGAAGATGAAAGATGTTACCAGTTTGGGTTTGAAACGAGGGGAAGAAAGCAGCAACGCTGCATCACGGCGGCGAGTCACCACCGGAGGACTAGTATGATCCCAACAACTCCTTCTCGCGGAATCCAAGCTCAGCCTCCTCGTCTCACCGATACTATTCTTCTTCTTCTTCGTTGTAACAGAGACCTGAGTAAAACCAAGAACCAAGTCGCTAGGGTTTAGATCGCTAGGGTTTCCAACGCACGTGCGCCGCTTCGGGACTGGCTTAAGTCCACGGACGACGGGAACAGGACAACCTTTCTCCACGTGCAAACCGCCGCGGATGTAAACAAACTGCCCTAGCTGTATCTCGTCGGAGCGTATCAGATCGGCGTCATCAGCTGCTGAAACGGCGACGTAAGCGGCGTGGAGAGAGTCAGAGACTTTGACGAAGAATCTTTCGCTGCGCCATTGGTTGTCGGAGAGACAGGGGACGATCTCTATCACCTGGAGGAGCGGGAAACGGTGCGAAGACAACAAGGGCGGAGAAGAAGAAGAAGAGTTGACTTTTCCGGCGGCGAGTTCGAGGAGGTTGGAGAGAACTCCGGGAGTGAGGGAGGCCATTGTGTGTCGACGAGGGAAGGTAGAGAGAGCATCTTCTGGGGAGAAGGTAGAAGAGTGTGTGGGGGAATCTCAAGAGAGATGTCTCGGGGAGTGTGGAGAGTTCGTCGTTTACTATTGGCGGGAAACAGACAGCTTTGTCAGAATGCTAAAAAGACTCTCTGTCTTGTCTTAAGATTTGGAAGGTTGCAGGAAGGTTTTGTTGCTTGCAGGTGTAAAGCACGAGGAACTATTTAAATAACAATTGTTTTTTTTTTTTGTTTCTTTTGAAAAATTCTAAATGCAGACTGTAGATTTGGATTGAACTAGTTAAAGTTAACTAGTAACTAGGACAGTGACAGAACTGGGAACTATTATTTGCAGTGGTGAAGGGTATCCGGCCCCATTCATTCGGTTAAACAGTGACCATAGTAGTAGACTGTTTTGTAAATATTTTGGTTAAGTATGTCAATTTAGTATCTTAATTCTTATGCTATGTAATTTGATGTGATAATAGGATATAGTATAATGTAAAGAAAATACCATTTATTGTGCCAATAGCTATAACAAATGTTATATCCAAAAGCATAAGAGAATGAAAACTTTAAGGTGGTTCATATATAAGGAAGATAGAATTAAGGGACAATTGCACAAATACCATTTTTGTGATACCACAATTCAACTTTACCATCACTCAAAGAACATTTTCATAAATACCTAGATCATTAATAGGAAAAAGACAATAATAACCCTTTCATAAATTAATCATAATTTTCTATCTCTTTCTCTCGAGAGTGACGACGGCGACGAGATCGAGCGACGAGATAATCCAAAGTTCCGCTTGGATTCACCGATGTGAGCAGATGTTCGGTTTGATGGAAGAAGACGATGTTGACACTATTATCGAGGAAAATGGTGTTGACTACGAAAGCCAGTCCGGTGACGTCGTCGCCTTGCGCACCGCCATTGGTACTTCCTTTGCTTTTCGAACCAATCAATAACCCTAAGGTCAATCGTCTTCCTCAGATCCCAAAAGCTTCACAGTCCAAATTGATCGTTTCGAGTCATATAATTTTCAAAACTTTCTGGAATTCAATTGATTGTCTTTTTTTTTTTTGTTTAAAATAGGAA